CTGCTATTGAGTTACTGGGAGAGAGGGACTTCAGCAGGCAGGTTTAGATGCATGAAGGCATATCACAAATGTTTTTGCTCAAATCGGTGTATGGTTTTTATTTATGTTTGTAATACAGTATGTGCATTATGATTTGTTATTTGACATTGTCAGTTCTGTTTTATTTGTTACATCATCAAATACACCGCCTACCATTTCCATGTTTCCACTCAATTCAAAACTTTGTCTTGACCTCAGAGATGCGCTTTTTCTTGTTTTGCTTTGCACTCTTTTGCAACTGGGGCGCGTAACTGTATTTCACGAGCGAGGCTCCAGTTGGTCTGTTGTGGCCATGCCTGGAAAGAGAATACATAAACTTACAGCCACAACATGTCATGATCTTGTTTTATGGATCAGTCATACAGAAATAGCTGTAAAGCCTATACATTTTTCCACATTTTAACTTGATTACATAACTTACCTTGTTCTGAGGGCAACATAATTGGCACGGGATTGGAGGGCCTGTTGAATTGCGCCTCTGCCAATGCGAGCTGTTTAGCCAGGATGTCCAGTTTTGCCTTGTTTAGCAGAACCAGCTCCTGATAGTGCCTCTCCCGCTGCTGGAGCTCTTCTTGTTTCAGCTGGAGCTGTTCTTTCTCTAGCTGAAGCCTCTCTTTTCCCAGCGCTACCAGCTCTTCACCATACCCAGAAGGATTCGATTCTCGGTCCTTCTCAGGTGGGGCCCTTTGACTGAGCCCTGCGCATGAGGGCCCTGGAGATGAGCCAGTACTGGAGCGTGAGGAGAGATGCACTGGAGAGGCAGGTTGTGGTGAGGTAGATGGAAGTTCATTCAAGGACACATCTACCCCTCCAGGTATTCCTTCCGTCACTGATGGCCCCAGTATGCCCAGGACCCTCTCCTCCTCTGGGGTGAGAGGCAGTGTCAGTAACTGCCCTCCACCAGTCTCAGACTTCTCTCTATTCAACTCTGCCCTCCTTTTCGCCAAACTTGAACAGTCGTGCCATTTTCTTCTGACTTCTGTGCCAGATCTTCTAAAAGCACTGCAGGCACTTATGCAGTTTGCAATGTCGTCCCATTTCTTTTTTTTTCCCTGCATTTGCGAGACTGCCTCGATCTGCAGGGAAGGAACATTTAATTTTGAGCTTATTTGTAGATATGTGACTAATGGATTGACTGACTAAAGGATTGTATGTGTGCGCGCGTGTGTGTAATTAATGCTTTTGTAATACTGGTTTTAAAACGTTTATACTTTTCGGGTGTAACAGTGAGGACATATGTTTGACACTAAGTGAAATCGATGGTTCAGTTTTCGACTGGCGATACTTTTTCCCACCTTGATGCTGGGGAGGAGTCAACAAAGAAGTACTTTAAACTCAGTCGTTACATTTCGGATTATGAAACCCTTCGGGAAACACTTGCAGAATTGACTAATTCTTTTCTCACGTCGTTCGTTTTCATTTTCGGGAAACCCACCCCTGTTTATTATTTTATTTTTTGTCCTACTGAGACAATAGTGGAACGGGCAAAATATGTAGAATATATTGTATTTCCCTTTCGTCCGGCTTTTCGTCTCTGACAGCGGGCCTTTGGCTATGGTTTTATGTAATGTACCTCTTAAAAGTATTAATCTCCTTCCAGCGATGTCTCATTTTCTTAAATACAAGTAATGTATACTCATTTTAAAATAGGTGTTTTAATCAAAAAGCAGTGCTCCAATTAAACACTACTACATTATTATAGGTGAAAGACATTTCAGTAAATGTCAGTAGAAGCTTCAGACCTACAATGTGTTGATTTCATACGTATTCTGCCTTCAAAGCTTTAGGCATTTCAGATGAAGTATGACATGTGCAGTTTCACCCCTGTAGAAAAGTGGTCCTGTAGTGCTACAATCCAGAAGATTTTAGATGACCTTTAAATCATCTTTTTCTAAAGCTGCAATTTAATTTTGAGCAGTTAAGCAATTTAGAGATCTGTTTGAATGAAAACAATGATGACAAAACAACATTTCTACACTTGTAGAACAATACAATAGCCCATCCATAAGCATGCAGCTGCAACAAAATAATAAAACAATCTCCAGTGTAGAAGTTATTTTTGACGAAACCTGTATTTTTCAAATGTCTTCTTTCGATATCATAATTTTCTTACTGATGTTCAATTCTTAGAGGAAAAGGTATGTATTGTAATAAATAAAGCAGTAACTAAAGATTTTCTCTGATGCCACTGAACTAGGGTGAAGAAGTTACATTAAGACTGCAACAATTTTTTCTGTGGTTTGTTATCAAAGTTCTAATGTCAAAAACGTTGAGAACCCCCTGCTGACAGCTCTTACACAGACACAGTCTTGCACAAACACACAACCCTCCAACACCCAGCTCCCCACGCCCCACACGCAGAGCCCAACCCCTCAGTGCACAGCAGCATGAATCACAATGTTCCCACTGGCAAGAAGTGGTACAGAATGCCAACAAATCATGAAAGCTCCAATTCCAAGAAAGCATAACAGCCTGACCAGTGATTTCCTTTTTCGTAAGAAAAGAAACGTTGCTGAAAGCCGAGGAGCTTAATGGTTGGGAATACCATAGGAATGTGATGGCAGTAAGAGTAATCAGCACAGGGCACATTTTTCACATTAACTTATCTCCTATCAGTGGAAGGCCGTGTCCTTTCCCCTTCAGGTTAGGGAGATGAAATAATCTTGGAAACCAAACTGAACATGGGAGGGCCGAGAGAGAAAAGCTGCCGTACCAACCCAGACATGGGTCACAGTTTCCTCCCTTTGAGCTGCTCGTGTTTTTCAGCTTCTCCATTGTTACTGCATTGACCAGTACAGAAACTGAAAATAGCTTGCCTCAACTGTTTCAATCTGGACTTTTAAAAGTACAAACTTTGTTTATGAATATAAACTTTTCAGCTAAAAATATATTTCTGACAATATTAGATTCATGCACAGCTTTGAATGCTCATGGTATTGCTTTGAATTAATAGAGAGGCTGTTCTATAGCACTGAGGCATCTGATGAGCTGTCAAAAAATACTACTACAGTACCATTTTATCATTATGACGAGCTTCGTAAATAAAACAAAACTGTCCCAGATGTACACTAATTTCATTTAATCATTTAGAAAATTGCATTTCCCCCTTGCAATGTCAGTATCCTTTTTAATAGTATGAACACCCTAGCAAACAAATGTGGTCAAAATCATTTTAACATCAACTGAAATTGAATTCTGTTGATATACTGCTAACAATATTTTCCATTATCTAATACACCCCCGATACAATACTGCTGTACCTTCATTTATTAAGAAGATATATGTTAGTGAGAAAAAAAAATGTCCACTGTAATTGGATTGGACCAGAGCACAATTTCAAGAACAGTTCTTTAACAAACGGGATCCAGAATCAGAAAAAATCCTAGTTCACAGAGCAGTACTGAATAATAGATTCCTTTCCAATTCCCTTCCTATCTCTAAAAAAGAAATTCCTCTCTTGACAATGAAAACATTGAGTAATCTTGTGGTTTGGTCAGATTGTGTTTAGGGAGTGAAGAGTATAATTGTACATAATCCAGTGAAAGGGGTTTATTCATTTAGCAAACCAACAGGAAGAAGAGTGGGAGGGTAGTTAGGCATTGCTTATTTTTGTGGTACAAGCAAACAACACTGTAATAGCAGTGGGAGAAGTTTAAGCATTATATATAAATCGGATTGCTTACTGTGTTCAGCTTTGTAAGTGACAAGTATATTGCTGACTAAACTTCTGCGGCAATATGGTCAAAAAGGTAAGCAGGTAGCAGATGTATAATTTTAAAACCACTTAGCAATCCATCACCGAGACCCAAGTTGGGGTGGAGGAAAAGCTGTGTGTGAAACTTCAATATTTTGTTTATCACAGCTTCATCCATTGGGATAAGCTATCGGATGATTACGCCCCAGGTAGAATTTACAGTGAAGTATATAACAAATCAGAGGACATGCTTCATATTACGTGTGCAGAAAAGAAGATTTTACATTACATTTTATAATACATTGAAATTAATGCATTGAATTTGTTGATGAAGATCAAAAGCACCCATTTGTTTGCAAAATGAACCAAACATCTTTGAAAACCCACAGCACTGCAGTGGATGAAACTGTTGTCTCCCAGCTCTTTGGTCCTGAGAGGAGTCTTCTGTGTGGAGCTTGAGTATTTTCCCAGTGCCTGAGTGGGTTTCATCTCACTTCCCAAAGGTACTCTGGCTTCACGGTTTTGAACTGTCTGTGTGTGTCCTGTCTAAGGTATACTCTGCTCTCGTGAAAGCCTACATGTTGAGAGGTAGGCCATGCAAACTCCACACTGAAGGTACCCAAGAATAGATTTGTTCCCAAGACATGCATGATAGCAACACTAATCACTAGAACACTGTGTCTGTGGTCTGTTTAAATATCATATATTGATTTAAACTTAAATATAGGATTTCAATTTGATGCATTAGATCTAATTGTAAACATAAATTATTTTTGAAAGATAACAGTATGTTGTCTGCATGTAATTCAAATTTTTAAATTATCTGGAAATGTTACCACAAATCTTCAAAACTTGCTTGATGCTCCCCCTTCCACCCCTATCGTCTCCCGTTGTTTTTCGTATTGCCTTCCCTGTGTTTGCTGTCTTGATCTGCTCCCAGATCATCACATGGGTAAAAATGTTGTGCAATGTTATGTTGTTTTTTTAAACAATGTCAAAATCTGAAAAACAATAGAATGCTTGTTGGCCTCCATTTCAGTGTACCCCAGAATAGAAGTTTAACATATTCAACAAATAACGTTGCCTTACATTTGTTGGCAGTTCATCGTAGTCTATATATATATAATGGCCGACATCCAAGTAGTCAGTCATATGTAGCTGTAAATGTAAAAACTGTGAGTGCACTGTTATATGCAGGGCTGTAAACCCGTTTTATCAGTTAATCACCAGCTACATTTTGATCCCTATTTCCCTAAGTGGCCTACGCTGTCTATTTCAGGAGTCGTCACCTCTATGTGCCTGGGAACGGGAGCCCAGGCAGGGGTGGTGATGGGGCAGTTTCACCTTCGGCTGGCCTGGCCTGACCTGGCGGCGCGGGGGTCCCAGGCTCCCTGTGTCCACCGGTGTGGGCGGGCAGGCTGGGAGAAGCCGCAGCGGGGCTGGGGCAGGCAGCCGCGGAGCGGCCGGGGGGGAGCCTGGCAGGCGAGGGGTCCTGTGAAAAACGTTGCCTCCGCTGGCTCCTCTCCAACAGGAGCTTCTCACAGGCCAGTTCTCATGGCTCTCAGGGCCAGGGACAAACAAGGAGCCTTCAACTGACTTGCCTACTTTTAATGAAAACCACAGAGGTCTTTTTGTGGGCCAGGCCTACGCCTGTCGATTGTATTTGATCCCTTCTCACACAGTAGCCTGGCTGCCCACTGGGGCCGCCCCTTGACTCAGATCAGGTGCAATTCCCAGTCAGCTTCTGACTCCAAGAGCAACCTTGACAGGCAGCACGAGCAACACAATGCGTTTGTCTGTGCTGAGTAAAACAAGAGCTGGTCTCTTACTCCTGATACTTGTGATAAAATCCCGCATTACCACTGAGCAATGCAGGCTTCAGGCAGCCATTAATATGGCATTAAATACTGACATTAAAGATTCACCAGATACATTTCTGACTCTGTTGGATATACTGTATATTTGTAATATTTTTTACTATTTATATCTTTTGATCTTTTGTTTCCATCTGCTTTCCACAAACCTGTCTCCCACATATCCAGCCTCAACCAGGAAGGATGACCACTTGGGCTTCGGGTGGAGCCCTGTGGTCAAGTCCAGGCCTGATCCACGTCATTAATCACCTGCGACCAGTGTGCCCGAGCACTGTCGGGACTAACAAGGCTCGATCCGCTCAGGTTTCCCGAGCCTGAGGTGTAACAGTCCCTTTGGACCTGCTGGCTGCTTCTGCATTTGCATTTCAATCAGCCGAAGGGTGTTTTTTGCTTCTTCGTTTGGTAAAAACTCTACAAATGTGAGAGATGGAGTAGTGTAGCGTGTAGCTTAGTTATGCAACTATAGGTGATTCCAAAATTCCTAAATTCC